AACTAAAAAAAGTAATATTTTTGTCATACCTTTAATTATTTTGTTATGAACGTGTTGTGGAAAATGAATAAAAATGCTAAATATCACTATATATGGCATACATAACCTACGAATTCTATCTAGTTCGGTGAATCAAGTAAAATGAGCTTGAGAGAAAAAAAATTCCATACCAGATGCTCTACCAGCGCCGTTTTTCGTTTGGCGCGGTGACCACAATAATCGCAAAAGAATCCATTGTTTGGATCATGGTTCTCTTTGATATGGCGTTCAAGACTTGCGATATTTGTACTTGTATATCGTTTTGCACAAATTCCGCACAGAAACTGTTGTTGTTGCGGTTCTTGCGATTCTTGCGGCTTTCCTTGTTGTTGTTCTTTTTGTGTGCCACTCGGAGGTGTGTTTGTAGGCAGTGTGGAAACACGAAGACTTGGCGGCAATGATAGCATTTAAAGCCTCCCTCGGATGGCATGTCATGGTACTGCATATTCTTCTAATTAACATTCACGGCGAAATTACATGGGACAAAGAGCACACGCGTACTTCGGGGATGTGCTGTTCAGCCATGTGGCAATCCAAGCGCGCTTTCATCATGATAAACTTGGTATGGCCAAGAAAAAAACGGATGGGGTGGGCGACCGAGCGTACATACATATAGTTTTGAAAGTTTTTACCACACTTTTCACCAGACGTGTGCAAGGGGGTTCCAGTTTTACCCCCTCTCTAGGATTTGAAAATTGGGACCCCCATCGAGCGATTTGGACTAGTTTACACTAGATAGAATCGAATTTCAAAAGTGAGGACCTTTTCAAGTCTTCAGTTTTTTTTCCATTTATAAATTTTCAGACCCCCATCTGGAAAATTTTTGTACCCCCTCTAAAATTTTTGACATTGCATACGTCTGCTTTTCACAGTGTAAAAATGTCAAAAATGTGCTTTAGTCGACTAATAGATCCATTTTTTGCAATGGGGTATGTTTATTTTGAGGCTGAAAATCGTGGTTTTTACATGTCAATGCACTTTTTTTATACTCTAGAGAATCAAATGACACTTTGAGTGGACCTGATATTAACCCCTGTGACGCGGGGGAGGGTAAAAAAGTGCAAAAATAGCGAAAAATGACCAATACATAGTTTCTGTTTCATGTTTTTTTTATTTGGTAACATTTCTTTGGCAAACTTTGTTCGTTTTTCATCATTAAAATAATTGCACTTTGCGTTCTTTCTTGTGGTTGAATACTTTCATGATGTCATCAATAGAAATGTTGTCCAATCGCTTGTGTTCAAAAGCGATGAATGACAAGTTTCGCATACGATCATTCGTCATGGAAAGGCGAGATGGAATGTCAATTTGACCCAACGCAGAAAATGAAATTTCGCAGACCGCAGTACTACACGCAAAAATGTCGACAATTGCAAACAATTTGTAGACTTCTGGAGATGCTTCTCGCATTCCATACATCACCGATAAAACATTGAACTGGGACGTATTTCCTTCAGCAGACTCTTGCCACTCCTTTCTTCTATTTTGGATGTATTTCTTGGCTGTTTTCAATTCATGTTCTGGCGACAATGTTATGCCAAGCTTCTCAAGCGGCTTTATTTCGCGAAGTTCCATATGAGGAGAATCCGACAGTGCCAACAGAATTTCATCGTTTTCAGTGAAGCGTGCGTTAAATTCGGCTAATAATATGTCAATAACTTCATAAAAGCATGCCGTAATTTCTTCGTTTTCATCGGATCTTCTTCTCAAATTGTACACTTTGCTGTATAAAAACTTCAACTCCAATCATGAAACAACGAGTCGCTCACCATTTACTGAGAAAAAACGTTTCATGGTTTTTTGTTTTGGATTTGCATGTTCTGTTTCATTTCCTTTCCTCTTCTTCGGAGCCCCATCACTTTTATTATCATCTTTACGTTCAGACATTTTTCTAACGAGAATTCACCTCTTGATGAACACTATATTATAATTTCAATTTGCATTCAAGCACTTAATACTTTCGATTGTGATAATTTCCACTGACACAAAATTCTATGTTGACAAGTTGAATGTTGACGAGAGAATGAAATCGCTCTACATTGATTGCGGTGCCTGAATGCCATTTGTATTTTGCATCTTTTTCTAACGCATATACACGGAATTTCGTTTGCTCGAATCATTTGTCGCCAGAAATATTTCATTTTCAATATGTCAGCATAATTCAGCAATGCGATGACGGCCGGATGGATTTCTCGGGAAAAAAAATCGAGAATAATAATATAACTTAAGTTTATTATATTATTACTTTGACTTTTCAAATTAATTTAACTTGCACAAATATATATTTACTTGTCACAAATATATATTTACTTGTTTTATCGTATTTAACTTGGCATTTAATATTAAGTCAAAAAAATCGTTTGTTTATAGTATGACATAAACACCAGCCGAAATTGTTCTCAGTAGCATTATATATCATCAATGCACTGGATATTCTTGCTTGGAATAACTCACTGCTTACCGCAATTAAAATACGACTCGCTATGCTATGACGAATTTTTTTTTATGTAAACAGAACATTGAAATCTCTTATTTTGTTTTTTGTATTCTTTATCAAGTCATATCAACATTTTTTCGTTATTGAACATACATGCCGTATTTTAATTACTGTACATGGTGACTCTTTTCAGTTTTGCCTACATTTTTTTACCTTTTTTCAAAATAAAGAATGGATGCTCAGCATCCCCAGAAGATCAGGTCACGTTACGGGCCTGGGCAGAACTTTGTTCGGCAAAGTTTTAGATCTCTTATCGATGTGGAGATAAAAGTGATAATTGATAAGAGCTATCAAGGCCGTTATCTCCTTACTGATAAGAGATAGGTGATGACTGTTTGAAAATTGTAGGTTTCAACGAGATCTAAAACTTTGCCGAACAAAGTTCTGCTCCATCGCATATGGGGTACGAGTTATGGGAGAAAAAACGAGAAAACCCAAAAAATCCGTATAAATGTATAGAAAAACGTCAATTTTTCCCACTGCACATTCAGAGATGATTTGAGCCAAAGTGAGGGTTTTTATCAAAAATTGATGATCAGGAGGTATAGCTAATTTTCGACGAGGAATCCAAAAATGCAATTGATTTGGGGTTGGGGAGGAAGGTGGGATACCTATTTGCCCATTTGAGTTTTAAGGGGTAAAAAATGCGTCGAAAGTGTTGGGGGTGAGTTTTTTTAACTTTCAAAGGCGAATTCAGGGCAGAAGGGAGGGTTTTTCGGGAAAAAAGTGTTCATAGTCTAGGGCTAATTTTTAAGAGGAATCCAAAAATGCAATTATTTTAAGGGTTAAAGTGGGATTTGGACCCTATTTTGGTGCTATGTTGGTCATTTTTCGCTATTTTTGCACTTTTGTACCCTCCCCCGCGTCACAGGGGTGAAGGACAGGTCCACCCAAAGTGTCATTCAATTCTCTAGAATATAAAAAAGTGCAAGTAAAAACCACGAATTTCATCCCCAAAATAAACATACCTCCATAACTACCCCAAATATGAATATGGGATCGTAATATTTTGTTTTTGGAGGTTTTGAGGGATGCCCTTTCGAACGCGCATGGGCATTTGAAAATCAGCGTGTAACAGTATGGGATGTTTACTGGTTAGTGTGGAATCGTCAAACAAAATCACTTCAAAAAAATACAAATCAATTTCGAAGGCTTTGTGCTTTTGAAATGTGTATGCAAAAAGCCTAGTTTCTTTATCTGCTACTATTCCGTTTAGCATATCCAAGGTGAGAACTTTGTTTTGAACAATTGGGCTAATTTTTTTAATCTCATTCGAAATGCAATAAACTGTTTTGAGGAAAAACCTGTTTAGCAAGCAGAGATTACTATGGGATAGAAATATCGCATAAAAATAACAGATATTTTTCACGCGTTGCGTTCAACGTTCAACGCGTTCAATGTTCAGAGTCCAAAAATATCTAATATTTTTCGCGCGTTGTGTTCAGCGAAACGCATAAATACACAATAGCGATTCTGCACACACAGAGTCGCTGTTTTTTCGTTATACTCTTCACACTTACGATGAGCTGCGCGGAGCGTGCATGCTCATGTTTCGCTCACTCCTTTCTTTGAACACTCTTCGTGTGTCAACACAATGTCTGTGTGTGTATGGCTTTTGCCGTCGTTTGTAAACGACGTCAATGAGCTGGGTACGAAGAGTGTCGATCGAAAGAAAAGAGCGAAACATATAAATGTGTAAGTGTGAAGAGTATAACGAAAAAACAGCGATTCTGTGTGTGCAGAATCGCTATTGTGTATTTATGCGTTTCATTGAACACAACGCGCGAAAAATAGCTGTTATTTTTATGTGATATTTTTATCCCATATGAATAAAAATATCCCATAGTAATCTCTGTTAGCAAGTGTGCGTTCAACGAACATTCAATATTGTTTTTGTTTTTTTTCTTCTAATTTTGAACTATAATACGTATTCGAATCCTATTCTCCGAAATGTTTAATGTCAAATTCTCAATGGCATGCCGTTACAAATAACGATCTCAATTTATTTATTTATAATTTTGAAGACAATGTTGTTTGATTCAATCAGTCGAAATCGGGTGAATATGAAATAAACTAATAAATGTTACCATAACCGAAATTGTTAAATTTTGAACACTGCGCGTTCAGAAAGAAATCCCATTCAAGGTTGTCCTAAGATGGTCGAATAAAAAAAATACTTTTTTCTCATGGGAAACAACTAAGACGACTAATTCTGAGCGGGGGGTGAAGTGGAAATAACACCGTATTGTGGTTGAATAGTTCAATTTCATACTTGGTTATTGATGTTGTTATCCATTTCTTGGTAACCTGAAACTTCATGTGATTGGCATTAGGTCAAAAAGCTACCAGCTTTTATTGCATATAGTAAGCCATTCTGCTCACATGCAGAATCGTGTAATTATACCATTAGAAATCAATATATGGTGGCTGGTGTGGTGATGTCATAACATAATCAAAACGAGCATTGTTTATTGTTTGAAACATTTCGAAAGCACACATCATATTTGATCACAGTTGGGCAATGCAAACGTGATACTATGCGATCGAGATTCATTTAATTTTTATTTTTTCGGCAAAGTATATAAATCAAATTTGAAATGTACAATGGGTTCATCATTCATCGGTACAGTTATATCAGGCGGAGGTTGTGGCAGAAGTCAATTACGCTACTATTACTTAAAATACAAGTCTAGTGGTGGAAATGCTCGACATGTGGGACATGGCTTGATTGGAAAGCTGAGTAGGCTCCTGAGGCGTATGATGGAGCAACTGTTGATGCAACAAATGGAGCAGCGGTAGCAGCGAAACCGTGACCAGCGCTCAATGCTGGGGCAGCGTAGCTATGGGCAGCGAAACCGTGACCAGAGAAACCGTGACCAGCGCTCAATGAGAGTGCTGGAGCGGCATGAACAATTGGAGCTGAGTAAGCGACGGCTGGTGCAGCGGTGGCAGCAATAACTGGCACGTGCTTTTCAACAACTTGGGTTTGGACGACTGGTACTGGGCGGTCAACAACTTGAGTTTGGACCACTGGGTAAGGCTAGACGGATCAAACGGATAGGATAAGTACAAATGCAAACATTGATCCTTATTAGGCTGCATGATTTATTTATACTCACTTGTGCAACTGGAACCGGACGATCCACATGCTTAACAACTTCAACTGGGTATGGTTGTGGCACTGGACGCTCGACGACTTGGGTACGTGTTTGAACTACTGGGTATGGCTGGGACAAATCCAGGAAGAAACAACACGGTTAGAGCAAAATGGTTGAGTAGAAAAATAAACTAAATGAAGAACAGTAATACTTACTTGTGGGTATGGCACTGGACGGTCAACGTGCTTAACAACTTCAACTGGGTATGGTTGTGGTACTGGACGGTCGACGACTTTAGTTTGGACGACTGGGTAAGGCTACAAGAAGGAAAGTGGTGGTTAGAATAGGCTTAGAAATAAGTTTAAGCCTTTTGAATGAATCTCTTCGTTGTGTGGTAGTATACTTACTTGTGGGACGTGCTTGATGACTTCGTATGGGCGATCGACGGTTTTAACTACGACTTTCTCAACTGGGTAAGGCTGTTTAGGGAGGAAAAAAGAAGAGAATGAATCATAAGACGAAATCTCGATGAAGAAAATGTATTGATTCTATACAATTG